AAGCCACAGGAGAAACAAAGAAATAAACACTGCACAAGTAAAACATGCCTTTTTAGTCACCAGGGATAAAACACATCCTGCTCTCTGCTTTAGGAGTGTTTTCCTGTTACTGTGACCTACCCTTACTTGTTGCTTCCCCCGCCTGAGCCAATCCTTATTACAGAGCAGAATAAGGAGCCTCCCTCTGATCCATCGTTATAATGCTCCAGTATCTGGCCAGCAAGGTGCACTCAGACATCAGGGAACTGGCACCTTCACAGCACCATGGCCCCAGATGCCAAACACAACTTGGCTTTTCTTTTAAAAGGTCTCTAATTTTGGGCTAGGGACAATTTTCAGTTGTATCCAGACAGACAATAATACAGGCCATTTACTGCACTGGTTGCAGATCTGGATTGGGGCTGCTGGTGAGATATACACTGGCAAAGCAGCACGTCTACTGTGACCTGTGCTTGTAGCATTCTGGGCTGTGACCCAGCAGTCTGTTCCTGGCACCCTTTATGGACTGGGGCCTTCACCTCAGCGATATGTCCATCCAGCCACTGTAACCATGGCATTGGCACGCTCCTGCTGAAGCACAGCATAATCTGATTTCACAATCACCATAGCCATATATGTTCCTCTGTCTCCACGCTTAGGTGTGAGGAGGATACTATAGGGATGTTAAAGGATTGTGTGAAAAGTAATGTGGCAACTAAAAGTATCAGACAGTAGCTTTTATTGTCTACATACTGTATTGATATGCAAAAATAAATGTGTTATTTCTCTAATATTCTAACTCCTTATCTAAAACCCCCCACAAGGGGTGCAAATATGCTTGCGCCACTCGCCCAGGGTGCTAAAATGCCTAGTTACAGCTCTGTTGGGTAGTTCCAACAGTCTGCAGTGAGCAGATGGGGGTGTAGTTAGCACTATTAAGTGACCTATTAATCACTTACGTTTACACAGATCTGTTAAGTAAAGCATCCCAGAGTGTTAGCGAGGGAGAAATCAAGAGTGAAATCAAAAGGCACATCTAGGGTTTTGATTTAAACAGTGTCAGCAAATGCTCTCAAAAAGAAGAAAACTCTTCCACCACAGGACTGTAGCCAGAAAACTGCACTTAAAGTATTGAAGTCTTGACTTGAAAAGCATCTCAACAATAAATACATAAGGAAATATATTGGAAAGACAGCCTGCTGGCTCAGCTTGTAGGACAGACAGCAGGCCCAAGTTCAAACCCAACCTCGGTGTTACTTCTGTAAATTTGGCATTCCCTAGAGAAGGCAAATCCAATCTGCAATGCCTGTAATAGTGCTGCTAATTATTCACACTTCAAGTGCTTTCCACCTGCGCTCTCCATGCACTTTACAAACATTCATTTATCTGCAGCAACTGTGAGGGAAAAGTCAACAATGTAAGAAACTAACTAGTGTGTGCACACACCAATCTGAACTACGTATCTCGGTGTCATCAGCCGTGTACGGCTGATAGATTCTCCTTCAGTTTTAGGTGCAGAAGAACCTGCACTGTAGGGCTTCAGTTATCATGAAGGGCGTTGCCCTGGAATGCAGTACAGGGGCAGCCAGGATAGCCTAGATGGCCCCAAATATTCCAGACTGTAATCCTGGTTTTACAGATAGAGAAACTAAGGCGAAGAGTTTAAGTGAGATGCCTAAAGTGACACAGCTTGGCCAAGCATAAACCCAGAGCTCCTGCCTCTCACACACTAACCGAAAGACCCAACTTTCCTTTGCAGCTAGCTATCAAATGAGTTAATTTTGTAAAGAACAGAACTGTTCTGCCTTACTTACCTAAATAGGCTAAATGCATTGATACTAATGATGGGAGAATGTTAAAAGGATAATCAGATTGGAGGCTGTGCAGTCATTGCAATTCTGTATGGCCACTGCATGTTTAAAGCAAAGAGTAGCCCTTTTCCCCATACAGCAACTCTAATGGAAGAAAATACAAGAGCACTAAACATTGCTTTTAGCACTCAATATAGAATATTCATAACACATGTGGAATGAAAAATGGGGATAGGGAAGTGGAAAGAAAATGAGAGAGAAATTTTGAATCTCCAGAAAGCTTTCATTTGAGTTCTGAGCAACTGTACATGTAGATTTATTTTATCCAAACTGGGTTTGCCTATGCTTAGCTCATATCCTTACTTGTTTTAGTTGAGTGGCTGAGCTACACGAGGAAGACATTAGTAACCAAGAGGTGGTGCTTTGTTTAGGAAGTTCTGAGGCAGATGTGATACAAAATGGAAATTCATCCCAAAGCAAGGACCTAAATTGCCAACTCTGGAATCAAGTTATTCATAACACAGGAGAGCGAGCTGGGCCAATACTATAACATGTAAATGAATGTGCTTTGAGTGTGTTTTAGCATCTTTTTATGTTCCATGAAGTTTCTAATGAATTAGTTTGCTGGCAGGAATATCACCCTGGCAGCAAACTATGAATGCATATTGCAGAATATTCATAGAGAATGAATGTTGAACCTGTAAACATGAATATTTGTTTACACCAACATCTGATTCAGAGTTCTGCTCATCCAATCAGGGAGCAGACCAAAACCACATGATCATTCTGAACAGCTCAAATTTCAAATACTGAATGCTAGCAACAAACTCATCAGTAAGCTACACACCAAGAATTGTTCACAGAAATGATTCAGTGAATAACTTCAAAAAACAAATGTGAGCAAGTTGACCTGTTTGTAGCTCGGTCCTCTTCTGCCTACAGTGGCCCAATTAATTGAATTACATTAAATTTCCTATATACAAAACATATAGTGCCAAATTCTGCCCACAAGCAAGTGACCATTGTTCCCACTGAGATCACTGTACATGTGTGTGTCAGGGTGGAATCTGGCCCCTTGGTGTTACAGGATTTTGTGCTGCATTTGCCTGCATATGGGAGCTTCTTTTTTGAGAACACACAGGAGGAAGCTTGGTCACCCATTAATTATCTATCAACAGGCTTTTGTTTATGTTGGCAGACTTGCAGGATGGGCATGGTGATGTGGTGGGAGGGAGACATGGAACTTCCCTCTTATCTGGATCTATGATCTCTTTATATGAAACGCAGCTAAAAACCATTTTTTGGTACATTAAGAAAATTACTGCTTTACTCCTTCACAGAACAGCAGAGAGTCACCACATAAGTGTTTGGCTTCTGCAAGGCCTTTGTGAATGTGTTGGAGAGCTAGGTGACAGTGCTGAATATGGTACTTAAAGTCTGTAGCTGCTACTGTAATTGGCAAAATCCTGTATGTTTTCTGTTTTGGAATGAATGTTCATGCTTCTCAATGTTCATTCTCACCCCTTCCTAAGGGCTCTCTCACCCAGACATTTTAATATGATGATGAATGAGTCACAATGGAAAGGACCTAAAGGCCGTTAAGAAGATTCTGGTTGTTATTTGGATGCAAGTCAGGCATGAGTGTCAACTTCATAATTGTGAGAGAGCATCTGGGTCTGATCCTGTGAGGTGCCGAGTGTCCTCTGCTTCCACTGACTCGTCCATTTAAAGAGTGCATTAATGGAGAAGATTAGGGGATAAAATCTAATTACAGCTCAGCGTATCTGAAATCCTGGCATGTCTGCTGTCTTATCAGGTTTTTTGGATAGATCTGTGAACTTTATTCTTCTGTCTCTGTCCCTATTATCCTTCAATAATAACCTAGAAGGAGAGTTCTCCTTGGAGACGAAGGACACTACCGCTGTACTGCATGTTGCCTTCCAAAAGCCAGTGAGTGGAAACTTCCAAGGTTGCTACACAACGTAAGCAGCCCTGGGCACTGGGGAACCACGCAGCTGCTGACACATGGCGCAGGAACATCATGGGAGTTGTAGTTCCGTGTGTGGAGAGCTGTTCCCTCTCCTCTATGAGGCCCCTCAGAGCCTGGGAACACAGGCAAGAGACAACCCCCCCCCCCCATCCACACACACACTTCCCCTGCTTGAGTCCCCCCCACAGCTTCTCTGCCACCCAGTCTCTCCCCAGCCCTGCCTTCGGAGCTTGGCCACCTTTCAGCCATGCCAACCAGGATGGCGGGGGTGGGTGGTTGGACTGGACAGGGAGCCCTTGCCTGGGGCTGCTGTGACAGAGAAAGCTGCTGCTGGCAAAGCTCACAGGTGGAAGTATATGATTCTAGTTTTCTCCCAATTCCTTTGCCAACATATTGCACCACTGAAAATGCAGACCTTTATTTCCAGCTAACCTGTCTTACAGAATAAAATTCTTTCTTGGAGAGCTATCCAAATAGTCTACACCACTGGTGACGTGGGCCAGAGTTTTCAAAAGTGCTCAGCACTCACAATTGGGGCCATTCCCCCTTCCCTCATCATCTAGGCACCAACATAAGTGGTTCTTCCAAAAAATCTAGCTCAAAATGTTTTATAACAGACCCAGCCAGAAGCCTTAATGTTTACTTACACTCAAGCTCTTCTAAAATCTGACATTACCTGAAAAAAACATGTCTTGGAGGGTAGGAGGGGGAACCTAATATACTGGCCACAGAATGGAGGCCATCAGGATGCTACACTTTGACTAATTCTATTACATATATTGATACAACTTAAACTGTCTGATATATGCAGTGTTATGCTTGGAGGAAAACATGATCCAATTAAAGAAGAGAGATTCCTCAGATATCTTTGAGATGGAGATATTCCCTATTGCTGCAGTTTGGCTTTTTTTTTTTTAAAATGCATTTAAGGCTGGCAGCCAGCTGGATAGTTCCAGAAATGGAAACCCTCTGTTTAGCCACGGAACAGGTCTAGCATGGGTAGTGGCAGTACAAGCTTCCTTTGATGGTACTAGAAACGGGCCTCTAATCCATTCTGGAGCTACCATCCACAGGGGTCAGAGAGGCCTGGTTCAGCCTCCAGAGCCCATTTAATCCTCAGCCTCTGCTGAGACTGCCAGTAAAGCTGGCAATTTTGATGAGTCTTGTGCACACACCTATCTGCTAGAAATTGCACTGAGACCAACCAACGTAGAACCTACCTGACAGATGAAACCAGTAGATGAGCACTGCCGAACCCACAGGCTGAATTTCCGCTTTTTCCTTTTGCGTAGCTCCCGCTCTGTGCATGTGGCAATGAAAACTGGGTCCTCATCGATCAGCGGTTCATGTAGCACCTATGATCAAAATAAGTATATTACTTTGTTTAGAAGTAACAGTACTGTAAAGTCTCCCAAGGCAATGTTATCTCTGTCATGATTGCACTTGCTACCCCATAAGAGAAAGAAATGCTACTTTTGCTCAGTTCTCTCATCTAGCAGAAGCACTATGGCCCATCACCACAAGCCAAAATGCTCTCTTGAGCATTGAGGACTATGTGAAAGAAGTGAGATCCTTAGGAGTCTGTCCCTTGGTCGATCCACCCTAATTTTAATTGTCCCCAATGTTGACATTAGACTGCATTCATGTCCTCCTTGTCACAATGTTATATGCCTCTCCAGGTGATTTATAATGTGAAACTATCCAATGAGAACTTCAAATACATGCTTATTCATAAAATATTATTTTATTTTGCAGAGCGTTTTTTGTGCCAATTATATCCTACAGTATTTTGCAGGTTTACATGACATAGTTATTGAGCAAAAAATAAACAGCAGAGGGGGAGAGAAATTAAAGAGGTACTCAAGGGAGATAAAGATGCTTTCTGAGGCCACTTGAGAAAAGATGGAGATGAAGGAATTTTGTTCCCGATGCCAGGAGCTGCAGAGGAGAAGGCTCTTGCACCAGTAGCAGTGAGATTCTGTGAAAGGACAGACAGGAAGCTGGGGCTAGATGAGCAGGGACAGGAATATAAAGAGGTAAGTTCTATGATGCAGACTGGAGCAAGTCTATGGTATGTTTAAAAATGGGGCAATTTTGCACCAGCAACATAGCATGAATGGGGAGCCAGTAGAACTATTTGAGGATGTGGATTATATAGTTTGTGCTTCTTTAAGTGTGCATGAACAACAGCAGTAGCATTCTGCGTGTGCTGGGATGTGGGAAGGCTGGAAAAAGGAAGGTACAATAGTCATGCTGAGTGGAAACGAAGACATGAAGGTGGGACACTATACACATTTTCAAAGATTTGCACTGGTTGCAAATGGCTTCTATTAAACAAGACCATAAAAGTTCCCATACTGGAACAAGATAATTGATCCATCTAGTACACGGTTCTGACAGTGGCTAGTCCTGGAGGCCTCAGAGAAAGGTGGAACAGGCCTGACAGTCCACAGGCAACCTTAATTCCAGCACTTCCTACCTCGAATGTTTGACTCGGCAATCTTAATATTTCTTTTAACATAATTTTTTGTGTGGAATTCTTTACAAAGGTGGAGTTCCTTTAGTGCTCCAGGAGTTACTTACACAAGAGTGTTCCTATCACTCCTATTGCCTTGTGGCCCGCCACTGTGGCCTAGGTTTTTCCAATGTAGGTATGCACAGTTGTGTAGTGTGAGGACATAAACACAAAGAGCCATGCCGTAAACAGTAACTATAGAAATCCAGGACTAGGAAGTCCCTCCTTTATGAAGCACCCCCTGGAACACATCTTGGTCCTCTCTGGTAACTGTGGAGGATCAGGAACTCTATAACCATTACATATCTCCCTTTCCTGATGATAAAAAGTAAATAAAACAAATTATCAACCTGTGTGGGTCTTATATATTTTTATTTTGTGTGCGCACACACAATTCAACTTCAATTTAAACAGATGTATTCATCTGTATGCATCTAATTATATAAAAAAAAATCAGGGCACTTTTCTTGCAATGTTACTGCTGCATTAAGCATGGGGTGTGTGTGGAGATGTGGCACACCCCTGTGTAAAGTCACCTCAGAGGTAGCCACTTGTCTCTCAAAAATTGAAGTGGTTAAGACATCATTCCTTCAACCCAGAAGAGGCACACATGTTCTCAGGCCCGTGGCTGCTGCATGACTTCATTTAGACACACTCCAGGTTTTAATGGCTCATAAAACATTCACGGCACCATCTGAAAGCACTCTTGCAAAACGTACAGATTACCTACATAAATATAGATGCAGACGTGAGGAGGCATGCAAATTCTCCTGGCTTTTGGGGAAGCTGCAGTTGCCAGCCCACCTAGTGCCAGTTATCCCAAAACGATTGAACCTTCTTCTTCCTTTAGGATCAAGTCAACGTATAGTTTAAGTATACACAACACTTTGCACGTTTGTAGCAACTTTTCATTTGAGGATCTCAAAGCACATTGCAAATATTAATTCTCTCAACACTCCCTTGAGGTGGATATTTATACATATTTTGCAAATGGGGAAACTGAGATACAGAGAGGTTGTGACTTGCCCAACATCATCTCACTTAAACATCTGGTACAAACCTATATTCAATCATAAGCCTTCCTAAAAAAGAGGGGGGGAAAAAACAACAAAAAGGGGGGTTGATCGGTTATTTATTTCCCTTTTTCTAGTCTCTTAAACTGGCTATTGTTTAGTATTGTGAAGTGTGTGTGGGGGTAAGGGGGTGTACATGTACACACATCCTCTAGTGGGTTGAATCTGCACTGCATAATAGTACCACAGGTCCACTAAAAAAAACGTGTACCCAAGTGGCAACAGATGAAGCATTGACCCCAGTAGTTGAGGCTCAAACCCCCTTCCCGCTGGCTTTTCCAGGTAAAGGCAGTGATTTCTTTACATGCGTTTGTTGGGGAGGGATGGGATACCAAGGAAATTCTCCTGTCCTCCTAAACAATGTGAGCCAGATTCTCAGCTGCTTTAAAATCTGTGTAACTGAAGCTAATGGAACAACAACAGGATCTGGCTCTCTGTTAATTGGTTCTGTACTTTAAATAAACTTCCCAACCTGGGGCAGGGGGTATTATTTCCTCTATGTACATTTGTTTGCATTATCATATGCTAAATATACCATAGTACAGAGGTAATTAACTAGTTTGTGTCAAGGTCCAAATTTCTTGTCAAAGTCCAGACTCCAGAGAGAAGAATACAAAAAACAATGACGATAATAATAAGTAAATAAGATTTCACTATGTTCAAAAGTATCTGGGGGTCTAGATTTGGCCCATGGTCCACGTGCTGACTGCCCCTGCCACAGTACCATGCTCTGTTTACCTCATTCTTCAACTTTGGATATTAGCTTCCCCATCCCCTTGTACAAAAGGAGTTCACAAAATCCCCAAGTGTGATGTCTTCTGTAGCATATGCACCTCAAAAAAGAGCATGCAAAAGTTTAGCATTCACTTAAAAATATATGATGTGGATTTTGGGATAGGAGACAGGAATTTGGGTCTCTGAAAAATGGTAAGCTGCCCCAATAACACATGTAATATGATGCCCCTGGATAGGTTATCGTCAGCAGGAATTGAAGGCAGGACCTCAAGCATGAGCCTTTACTGCCGGAGCTAAAGAACCCAGGCTTCATAACTCCAAGGCTGCACCAGACTCACAAGCCTCCTGTGGACTAGCAACAAGAAGGTGACAAGCACCACAACCTTAGCATTGATTACACAAACCATCCAATCAAGATAACAAAGGAATTTAAAGGTAAGAACACACATCTGTTGGGGAGGCGGGGGTAGGGGGAGAGGACCGACAGGAGATGGGCCTGTGCCAAAACCTCTGATTTGGGGACCACAGGTTTGGGAATACTAGAAATCCAGATATGGATAAGAAGGCTGCAGCTTGGATACCAATTTTTTAAATTAAAGCCAGCCAATGAAAACATACTAGTGGACACACAATTACCTTGGCTGCCTCAGGAAAAGTTAACTCAAACCATCCAGAAACAAGTGACAGAATAGAAACCCCTAGGCACAAAATGGCCACCCCCCAAAGTTTTCCAAAAATCCCTGGATCAGAGAAAAATGGTGGTGGTGGTGAGGAGGGTGTTTCCACAATACAATTGCCATAGCTATAAACAGGACACATCCAACCGCCCATCAGAATGAGCTCTTTCTTGCCATTTCCCCTTGTATCTGTTCAACAGGATTAGTATTTATGTTTTCGCTTGGCCCTTACATTCTGGATCTTTTACTTCCCCTTATTATACCATCTGCACCCTGGGCAATTCCCACTTAGCGGTCTCCTCCCGCCCTCCCCCCAGAGTGCCACCCGCCCCGCAGAGCACCGCGCCGCCGGAGAGCCCCCCGCGGAATGCCACGCCGCGCTCCCCCCGCCGCCCCTTACCAGGTGCCGCCCCAAGCATGTGCTTGGGTGCCTGGTGCCTGGAGCCGGCCCTGTTCGCTTGGCCCTTACATTCTGGATCTGATACTTAACCTTATTATACCATCTGCACCCTGGGCAATTCCCACTTAGAGGTTTTTTCCCCCCTCTTGCTTCAAGCTGGTGGAGCCCTGGTCCCTCAGGATGTTGGGAATACAATTCCTTTTGACTCCACAGAGAGCTAGAGCACTCAGCCCCTTGCAGGATCAGGTCTGGATTGTACTCCAGTAAGATACTTATTCCTGTGATTGTCTTACTATTTTTAAAGAACAGACTTAAAACCTCTTTCTCGTGTCTAATTATTTTTGGTGTTTGATGTTCAGCTTGATATGGCTGAAGGGTGCTTTATAAAAATCAATACACACATTGACAAGGGAGCCTAGGGGTGGGGGAAATGGGAGCTAAGAATGGCTGTCACCTTAAAAAAAAAAAAAAAAAAAAAAAGAGGGAGAAAAGAGTCTCTGTACAAAACAGAGCACAAATATACAGACTGCATGTGGAGATTCAGACGCTTAGTCATCGCAAACATGATACAGGTGATTCTATTGATTAAGTTTTCAGACCTTGTAGGGGGGAAGGTATATGTGGGAGTCACATTATTTGCTAATGGGATTTGTGCTTTTCAAATGTCCCACAGGAATCCAGCGCTCCGAGCATTTACAAACACGGTGATCAAGCTTCTAAGCCCTTGATTTTTGCACCCACTGAAGTCAATGGGTGGGATGCCCTGTCCTCAGAATGTTTTCTGTGTTTGATTTGCTGTTTTGCCTTGGCATCAGAGACACGGCGTATCCTAACATGGAGGGTTCTGTCTCGTGGCTCCTATCTCAAACTGATTAATGTTTGGACTGTGAGCTGCTGCACTATCCTGAATTTTACAGCCACAATGGGTGGCTGGTATCTCTCTCTTCCCCTGCGAAATAGGCAAATATCCATTATTTGCTACTCAGCTCTATTTATTTTTAGCCACACTTCAATGGCAAAGTATTTTAAGATAAGACTTGCCATGCCGGGTCAGGTCATACATCCACCTAGTCTGATATCTTCCCTCTGATCATAGCCAATACCCAATGCTTCAGAGGAGGGCAAACACTCTTATAACACATCTCTTTTTGCAATACTATAGCACAAGAAACAGACAAGAAAGAATGTCCTTTTGCTGCTCTCCACAATAGATCAGCTTTGCACCCTGAAAGCATGAGCTTGATTAAAAGGTATTTCAAGTAGAACATTTTGAATTACATTTGTTTTATTATTTTCCTAAACTCCTGAAGGTGGGAAATAGTATCGTCCACAGAGCTGTTTGCCATATTTAACATTTTGTGCCGTGGATGGAAGAGTAAATGATATAGGTTGCGAGTATTTTAAGTTACATTTCCTTGATCTTGGTTTATTTGGTTACTTATCAGATTATGTGTCAATAATCAGATAAGTAACGGTAACAATAATAGCACAGGTTTCCATGTTTGGTTTCTCAATGTCTTATATGAAACTTGCTCAGCTTACAAGCCTGAAGTCCTCCCCCACCCCCACTGCAACCTGAACCTGGAATCTAAAAATCCAGCTGAGTTTTATCTGCCTCCTACACCAGCACCAATAATAAAGAGTCCACAATTAGAACTTGGTTGACATTTTTGTCAGCATGCAGGCAATAAGATCCATCGCTGCAGGGCCAACAGCAGCGAAAACATGTTTTGATCAGTAAGGCAAAGAAACATGGCTCAAGAGACAGAGCCAAACCCTAAGTGGATGGGCACCTGCAACTTCTATTGTTTTGAGAGTTGCAAGCCTCTCAGATTCTTGCTCAAGAGAGCAGATGCTCAGAGCTAGAAGGTGCCACTTATACTCAGTCATAGTCACACTGAATTGTGTCTTCATACTGTAATGTCTAACTCTCTCTACAGGCAACTTCTCTGCAGTTTCGGTATTAATGGTCATTGGTAAATAACCTAGAGTATGTAGCAAGCTAACTCTTACCTGGGTTTGGGAAGGCCTAAAAGTAGAGTCAAAGCCATGCTGCAGAGAGTCCAGAAAAGGCTGAATTTTGTAGAGGCCGTGTGTCATCTGGCTGGAACGGAAGGCCACAATGTGGAAGTACTTCAGGATTTTCTCAAACCGTGGCTGTGTCATGATCAGCGCAATGCTCTTGTTGCTGTAGAAGCCACTGCTCCAAATGCTGAGGACAGACTCGCAGTGGTGAATGCTTGTGGAGATCATGTAGCCTAGGAAGGCTTTCATTTCTGTTAGCGTGACTTCCATCCAGGCATCATCTTTGCCAAATCTCTCCTGGTACTTCTTGGCATACATGTTGGTTTGTACCACCATGTTCTTTAGTACATTGTCAGGGACAAAGAGCTGAAAAAAGTCCATGGCACTGGCAGTTGGGGGCATTTTATGGGTTGGACCTAGAACAAAAGTGGGGAAAAAACAAGCTCATTTCTGATTAACTATTCATCATAGTGGTTAGTTAGATTGATAACTAACAACTATTAGACCATCCAATCCCTTGCTTCAGCCAGTGCAGGAGAGTTTCCTACAGTACATTGTCTAGTCTTTACACAAAGTCCCAAGTGATGGAATTTGGGCCACTTACCTTGTTAGGCTATCCCACCGAATAAACAATCTGTGTCAGAAATGTTTTTCTAATATTCAACCTTAGTTTCATATCATTATTTCTGGTTACACCCCATATATCACTCTAAATAATTCCTCTCCCTCTTCAGTATTATGCCCTTCAGCTATTTATAGACTGTCAATTCCTTCCTAGGCCTAGTCTACACTTAAAATTTAGGTCAGCATACCTACAGTGCTCAGGGATGTGAAAAATCCACACCCCTGAGCAATGCCGATCTAACCCCCAGTGTAAATGCGGCTAGATGGATGGAAGAATGCATCTGTTGACCTAGCTACTATCGATCACTGAAAGCGGTGTCTACGCTACAGGGTTATGCTGGCATAGCTGTAGTTACATTGCTGTAGTGTACACATGGCCTTAGTCTCTAAGCCAAGCTATACATATTTAGCATTCTTAATCTTTCCCCATATATCGGTCCTTCTAGCCCCCAATTGTTGTCATTGCTCCTCTCTGAATTCTCTCCAGTTTGTCTATCTTCTAAAGAAGATGGTACCACAAATGCAATATTCTAGGATCAGGCACATGACAGCCATATTGAGAGAGGTTCTTGCCTCCATGCAAGGTGACATAATTCCCCTGCAGTCAAAACTTGAATGGCTTTTTTTGCTCCTATACTGCATTTCAAGCGCCTGTCCAATTTTCTGTCCACTATCAGCCCTCTGTCTTTTTCAATGTTACCATTGGATGCTATTACCACCACCTTGCTGGTTACTACATACACATTGGTGCAACATTACATAAATCACCACAGTATCTAGGCCATGGTATCTGTGAATCTGATTTAGTACCCTCTGAAATCTATGGAATTTTGTCATTGATTTCAATCAGAGCAAGATCAGGCCTTTGTAGAACAAACTAAAACACCATATGGACAAGTTTTTCCATCTTGCATTATATACGATTCTTGCTGAGATATGTTCCTTATTCAGCACATCACCCACATAACAAAGGATAAACCTTGCACTTCCTCCCTCTAGTTACTTTGGTTTTTGACTGAACTGCAGAGAAAATGGAAAGTTTTCAAGCCTTTATTTTATTTTAACAGGAAAAAAAAAATACAAGGTACACTGAAAGCATGCTGATTACTGTTATGAGCCTTAGGTTCTTAACTCAGTACCATGTCTCCTACACCCTTAGCATGTGTACAGTCTCCTGTCCATCTAATGACTTTTGAGCAGACATTAGCATTTGAAATTCTGGTTAATACTGCAAGGAAAACACTTTCCTGTTATGTGACTACTTGGGTCCTGATTCAGCTTGAATGTCAAAGGCTCGAAGAAGAGAAGTGTGAAGTCCTGCAGCTTTGGATCATAAAGATTCATTAAAACCTCTTTTGGTTTTGGACTGCATGGTTTATACTCCCTGGATTTCTCCTTGAGGGCTTCCTCTTAACTTGGCAATAACTAAGAGATCAAGAGCTAACTTGGCATCAAGTTGCGTTTGCTTTACATACCTTGTTTCAGCTGCAGTCTGTGTTAAGCTCAAGCTATTTAGTTATTGCCTAGTAAACAAGAAGAACCTTTAGGATATTCTAACTCCATCAAAAAATGACACAAAGAATGTTAAGGTTGCAAAATTAAGCTATCAAGAGTGAAGAAATGCCAGGGGGAAAAAGTGAACTTATTTTATGAGAAAAGCTAATATAGGTAGAATTTTATATTCTAGTAGGTGATTATATTGTATGCAAAATAGTGCAGACCTATCAGCAGCTGAACTGTTATACACTTTACCAAAACAGGGGAAAAAAAATCAGTACACTGTGCAGAGACCAAGTGGAAACGTTCATCATAAATAGTGCATGTTTTTCAGATGTAACTGAGAACAAGGAGTTATAATGGATACATTTACGTAACCCAGACTATAACTGTCACTGCTGTTCTCTTTATCATAATAAAGCCGGTTACAGAGGAGTTCTGTATATCTGCCCGCCCAAACCAGAGTGAAACGATTTCTATAAGGCAAATTGGACTACAAAGGATCACAAAGTACAAGTCACAGAGCACAATGCCATAGAGTGACTGAATGCACCCCTGTATTCGCACCGTACGTACCATTGTAATAATCTTTGTACATAATATGCCCTGAGGTATCATTTGAAATCTAACAACTTGTTGGTCAATAATATCATGGAGAAACATATGTAAAGTTATGAACAAACTGAAATTATGACTGAAATGTGTTTACCAGACAAGTCGGGGGGAAGAGGGGGGTATAAACCTGTTTCTCAAAGACAAAGGACAAGCTACCCAGGTCTCATCAAAGCTGATTGGCAATCACTGGTCAAATGGCCATTCTTTGGTAGCCAACGAGCAGGCGCAGATCAATCTGCATTTTAGCAAACCACAACATGGAATCTCTTTCACCACAAGGCTCCCTGTCTCCATCCTCACAGCTAGCAGGAACTTTATTTAGAGAGAACTCTCAGGAAGATGCATTTCAAAGGGCAACAGGACTATAAAAGTGAGTGCCAAAAACACCCCTTGGACTCTCTTGCTCACTCTTTCACCTAAAATGGCAAAGAAACCAGCCCTTTAGACTTTGGGGGCAGATCCTGACATGAGAAGGGATTTTACCTTAAACCAGGTCTAATTTAAGTTTAGTTACTAAAAAGCATTTTATCTTTATTTCTCTTATAATCATTTCTGACTTCAATACCTCACGCTTGTACTCTTTAAATAATAAAACAAGTTTAATTACAATCAAAACTAATCCAGCATTGTGTATAAACTGCATTGTTTGGTAACCCCAATTAAAGTAGCAAACTGTTGTATATTGACTCCCTACAGGAGCCATGGACCTATAACATCCGAACTGTCCATGAAAGGGCTGGACAGTGTAGAACACGTGTTTTGGAGGAGAAATTGGGACTGGGAGTGTGTCGGGGTCACCCTGCAGGTAGTAACTAAGGCTGCAGGAAGCCAGAGTGTATCTAGTGCTTACTGACAGGCTGCTGGGGTCAGAGTTACTGGATTAGGGCTGTGGCTATACATAGAAACTCAGGGTTTGACCTGCATGCTGGTGGGCTGATTGTGAGCAACCCAAATTGAGAGCTACAGCAGCAAAGCATTGTGAGGCACCCAAGATTGCAGGGCAGGTCATGACAACACCTAACTAGTTTGGATTGCACCCCAGAATGCGATACTCAGGAATTACCTGCAGGCTGATGTTTAGGATAGCTGCAAAGGAAGGGCAGCACCGAGCAGCTGAGAGAGAGAAAAGGGATCGATGACGTGTTATGAAAACGTTTACATTTTCTTTTGAATAATCACTCAATTAAGCTTCACTGTTGCCCACTAGATATGGCTCTTTGATAACATGACTTATATAAGAACTCTTGCCTAGTTATACTCCTGGGAGAATTCTGTGCCACTGTGCAAGTGCAGAATTAATATGCCCTGCAGCACAAGTGATTCTGACGGGGAGGTAAAGGGAAGTTGCATTTACACCTTTTGCCCACTAGAAGGCACCAGAAGAGGGCAGCAGGCTCATGGGCCCGATCCGCCAGCCTCAGAGAGGGAGGGCAGAGCCTGCTTTCCTCACTGTGCCCTGCCAGCAGGGCCAGGTGAGGAGGCACAAGATGGGGGGGGGGGGGGGGGACAGACAGAGTGGGGCACACGGTGTTGCTGAGGTGTCACACAGACTAGGGTTCAGAAGGGATAGTGGGAGAGACTGGGGTAGAGGTACAGGAGCTAGTGGGGTGACAGCATTGAGCCAGGGACTGAATGGGAATGGGAGTGAAGGGCCACATGAGGACAAGAGAGAGTGGGGGGGTTCAAGGATACATGGGGACATACAGGGCCATCCTGAGGCATACGCAGCATAGGGCACCCAAAAATTTGGAGATCCCCTAGAGATTCACCCTCCCGCCTTTCCTATCCCTATCCCTGTTCTGACCCTTCCTGCAGGCTAGCTGCTGCAGCTTGGTGAGTTTTCCTCCAGAGGGGATCTAGTAACTTAAAAGTGAAAAAGTCTTCCAGCTTGCCAGACCTATTAGCACAACACTGAAACTGTTAAAGAGCCATTAAAGTGGTAATGAAGCCATTTAACAGCATTTGCCAACTCCCAGGTATATACTGTCAGTTTCTGAATTTACTGAAAAAACAAAACAAAAACAGTTGTGCATTACTGTAATATTTACTCAGAACATGTTAGTCTACAGGTCCTTAGTTTAAAATTTGCTTTAAAAATATTTCATTACAGTGTTGCTGAAGATTATAAAATCACATCTCTAAAAAATCCTTGCATAGATTTTTAGATGCACAATCTGAGTATTCATCTTTAGCCTTAAATGTTTGGATCTTCAGATATATAGTTTTTAAAATAAATCCTTCAAAAGACCACCCTTATCTAAAATACACATTTTAATTTTAATTACTTTAGTACAAAAAAATTGCTTCCAAAGTCTTCCTGTCCTTTCTGTTCACCCCTTTCTCCATTCACCCCCCTGTTGAAGAGAGCCCTTAAAGGGACAACACCCCTTTCCTTCCAGATAGCTGGACAAACGAGTTTCCCTTTCTTTACTTCTGACTATTTGATGAACTAGTTTTAAGAGAACCCTCCAGCGAAATCAGTACCTTAGTAAGATATAAAATCCTCTGTTATGCCCCAAATCTTTGGAAACATTTTTTAAAGTTGGTGAAATTTCATAAACATATATATATTGTTATGGAGATCACACAAAGTAAATTAGTGTTCCCTTTTTCTAAAAGCAATGAATATTGTTATGAACACACTAAACCTCTGTGACGGATTAATTTAAAATGTCTTTGT